CACAGCCACTGCGCCTGGGCTGCCTGGCCTGTGCAGGGGTCTCCTCAGCGAGTCCCACGGGAAGGCAGGACCGGAGGCACCAAGAGACCCTGGCCCCAAATCGGTTCTCACAAAGCTGCCATTGACTCAAAGACCCAGCTCCCCAGGCGAGGAGGGTGAGGGTACTTTGGGGAAAATTAACTGTCTTCCTTCACCCGGCTGCCGCTTTTTAATGTGTGTGTAAGGATGCACATGCACAAACCCATGAACACACGTGTGCCTGTGTGTACACAGGAACACACATCCTGTGCTATATGCACACGTACATATACACACCACTGCAGACAGCTGGGAGCCCCCTCTCAGCACAGACACAAGGGGCTCTCAGTGAACACACACCAAGACCTGAGGACGGTGTGGGAATGTTGGAAAAGGAACACGGTGACCTAAAAATCCTGTGTTTTTAACACTTAGTTAAAATTTATTTTTAATACGGGCAGTCTTGTGAATTTGCATGTCCCGTTGCAAGAACCTAACGTCAGCAGCGGCTGTCACCGCCAACATGCAAACTCTCTGCTTTGGCATTTACCCAGGTCTTGCTGGAGGGGAAGGAATGCAAGCCTGGTGCCCTCATCAGTTCCCAGTAGGTTTCCTTTAAACTCAGGCCACTGGGCACTGGAGATGCCCAGCAGAGGGGCTGCCTCTGTGGTTAGTAATTCAGAGCCTGAACCTCAAAAATCCTACTGGCTCAGAGACAGATGGAACGCTGGCTAATCCAAGAGCTTAGACTCCAATCAGTGAGGCAGTGGTTTAAAAATATGTGGATACGTCATGAGGCATAAACACAGGACTGGGAGGTGCTCTCAGAGGGAAATACAAATCCCACTGCCGTCCGCACCCATCAGAATAAGGTTCCTGTGCAGCACCTCCCAGGTGTGTCAGCAACAGCCAAGAGCAGTGACGTCAACCCCCGGGACGAGCCACTGACATGGCAGAGGAGGGCCCGCTGTCGAGCACCCTGACACCATAGGACAAGCTCCGAAAGGCCGAGGCAGATCAGAGCAAAGTGCTCTCTCAGTGGCCAAAACAGTGACGTTGCCACGTCCGGGGCTCTCTGGGTTCTGCACAATAAAATAACCACGTATGGAAACGAAGACCTTGGGAGCCCCACTATCCTTTCCCTTTTGGCTGCTCAAGCACCGTCATGGCACAAGTCTCAGCCACATGAGCTCACTTTCCCAGAGGGAGGAGCAACTGTTTTGTTTTCTGAACAATAGTCATTAGTGCGGCTGTGGGGTTGTGGGGTTGTGGGGTGAGGAGGAGGGCTGCGGGTGCGGGTGCGGCAGCTGGGCTCGAGGTCGCCATGCACACTGCCGTGGAGCCAGATGCAGAGCATGATGATGCACTGGGGGGGAGGGGTGCGGGGTGCACATCTGTGTGATGGAAGTAGAGAGATGGACGAAGCTGGCCACCCACCCCATAAGTGAGGGACAGGCGGGGAGGGAAAGTCGGCCATCACTTCCAGAGCGGACGTGGGGCGTGAATGCACGTGGCAGTTTTACGGAGAGTGGAGTCTGTCCCCACAAGTCTCTAGCATCCCTGGGGTACTGACTGGCTCTCCTCTCCTGTCTGAAGGTGGACTTCATGGTAACAGGATGAATCTGCGACCACCCTGTTTCCCCACAGCGTGTGAATTTCCGTGGGGGCCTAATCCAGAGGGCGCCACTCACCGAGTTTCAGGAGCCAGCCTTCGCGGTCGGGATTGAAGAAGGTGTGTGTGAGGTCGTTCCCATCATCCTCGGGGATCTTAAAGGGCTCGTTTTTTATGCTCTCATAGAGATTCTGGATAAAAACAACACTGCATCTCTCTGGTTCTAGAGGTACCTTTCCTCCCCTTTCTCCCCTCCGGCAACAAGCACCCTGTGGGTACCACGGTCAGCGCCACACTGCTGGACACTGAGGAGACCACAGCTCCTGCCTTCACATGGCTCACGGAGACAGAAAAGATAAGATGCCTGACAGATAACCAGGAAGGAAAGAAGGCAGCCCGACCCCCCGATTTATAAACCATTCCTGTCCTGACTCTGCAGCTGGGCCTCACCACCAACTTCCTGACAGAGGCACACGACTCAGTGGGTGAGGGGCACGCATCCCACACCCCCACTGCGTCTGCGCCCCGCTCACCCGGAGCAGCTCCTCGGGCAGGTCGCCTCCATCATTAATGCCCCGGTTCATGGCGATGAACCTCTCCACGGTGGGCTTGTCTTTGACGTTGGGGTTGTGTAGGCTGGTGTTCAGCATGATGATGGCAAACGAGAGGACGTAACATGTGTCTAGAGGGGGCAAAGGGACCGTCAGAAACGTCCAAGGAGCAGGAAGTGCGGGTAAAACCGAGGCCCATGAGCTGGGACAAGTCCATGTGTCTGGAACCGCTGCCACTGAGCAGCTCTGTGCAGCTCCTGAGAGCAAGGCCACAGAAACAATGCCCAGGGCTAAAGGTGCCCACTTTCTCAGATCTTAACTGCAGAAGGTCGGAAAAACGATACAATGTACAAAAGAGAAAATGCATGTTGCCTCCTATGGATGTTGCGCCTCCTATTTACTTTACTTCCTGTTTGCAAATGGCCCTCTGTGGGTAACACACCACCAGATATATGGTTTGAGTCCTGTTTTTTCTAATCTCATTAGCATTTTCCTATAGCAATAAAAACTCTTAAAAACATGACTTTTAAATACATAACAGAGATACCACAATTTATATCCCTACTCCTTATGGTTGGATATTGGGTTGTTTCCTACTTGTTACTGCTCTAAATACCATCTACACTGATGTTCTCAGGCATGAGCCCAGCCCCCTCCTGTAAATGTCGGAATGCCAAGATGAGCCTGCGTGAGGCCACGTGCTGAGGACTGCCCACCTGTGGACTGGAAAACCCCAGGGTTGCACTGGCAGTACCGCTGGGCGAATGCCTCCATCATCCGGTCGATCTTCTGTGCCTCCCCCGGCAGCCGGAAGCTCCATAGGAACTGCCTGGGTGACAAAGACAGGCCATGTCACAGGGCTGAGGGACACCCGTGGGGCTCAGCTTCTATGACAGAAACTGTTCGGATGCTCGCTTTCCACATCACTCCCGTCCCGTCCAGGGAGAGGTGCGAAGGAGAAAGTGAAACTTAACATCTCCCTAACCCTCAGGGTACTGCAAGGACGGAGCTACGGACAGTGCTCGTCCTCATGACCTCAGCTTCCAGAGCACAAGACACGGGGAAGGAAGAGACTCTATTGGAGCCTTCACGATGGAGCCTCTGAGTCAGAGAGACCATGCCCACAGGGCTGATCTGCATTATCTGTGTCTCTCTAAGTGATGCTACTATTACACTACGGCACTGAGAATACAGATAACTTCTCAAAGGACACACGCTAAAAGACTTAGTAAAAAATTCAAGTTTACTTTTCTCTCTCTAAAATGAAGCGCACAGCTACCTACTTCCTGTTCTAGGACCGAAATGAAAGCATTTTCTAAACTAAAAATTAGAAAAGATTTCGAAAGTTAAATATACATCCATTTCCAGAATGTTAAATGAAAATCCCAAGGAAGAGCTTTGCGAAACTTGCTTTCAGAAAACAACAGAATTTCACTCATTTTAATCACCCAATTTTTCAATCCTAGTCCTACAAAGTGCTTTTCTTTAAGTGCTGCAAGTATCCAAAATAACCCCCAAAAGGTACCACCACTTCCCTAAAATGCCACCAGGAGGACACCTGAGCCAAGACCTGCCTCTCCTGCCTTTCAGGTGTAGACTCACCGTAGAGCCTGGACAAGGTTCAGGTCAGTGAACTCGTGCAAACCCACAAACGCATGGAGAACCTGGATATTAAACTCGTCTCTATCAAGAAAAACAAGACACAGGCAGAGAAAGCAGGTGTCAGACACTGATAGTCCAAGGCTGGCCCAACCCCCAGCGGGGCAGTTTCCCAGGACACCAAGTCCCGCCCTCCTATAGGCTCAGGGGAGGGACCCATCTCCTCTGACTGCTGCAGGAGCAGACGCAGCGCCCTGCCCTCCCCTCCCCGCTCACACACCAGCTGCTGCCCCCTGGGGCCATGCCCCCTGCACCCCGTCACATGGCTGCTGCTGCCCAGGACAAACTGTCCTCAGGAACTCAGCCTTCTGAAGCATCCCTGTGTAACCCCTGGCCCACGCGCTACCCCGTGTCCCTGGGCCTCACCTCTCCCCCAGGTAGTCCCCGATGGCAGTTTTGTTCAGCCCTTCACCTTTGTACAAGAACTGGGCGATGTCCTCACAGGTGTTCTTCAGCAGGTCATTCTCTATTAAGAACTGGATCCCCTAAAAACAAAACAAAGATGCTAGTGACACTCACTCCAGAAACATCTAGAAAGGAAGTCAGGGGCACAGCAAGAGGGTGGGTGCCCTGGATGCAGGCGCAGTGTGATAAACACTGTCACCGACGCAAAGGGCGAGGGCACCGTGACGTGGGCACCACGGCTTCCACATGAGCTGGGCTCCGCCCTGAGGGGTACAGGCTGGTGAGCCGTGACCAACCCCCCAGCCTCGAACCCGAGGCTCTGACCCACCCTTTCTCTTACCTTTTTAGGGTCCATGTTAAATTTTTTCCTGCCCATGGCTACCTGTTTGTTCCTCTGCATGTTTTTCCTGGAAAACAACCACAGCAGCTACTTTAGTGCCCAGGCATCAGAGGGTCTAAAAGATGAATATAATCCCCACATGCAGGTGGCGGTTCCCAGGGAATTCTGCAAGATCCACCCAGAATGCACAGGCGTGCTGGGTCTAACTGTGGGAGGGCCACTGGAACCCCGACCCTGGGGCCATGCTCCTTCCACTCCAGGGTTTTGTTTTCACATGGCTTTTTAAACTTCATTAACCTATACTTTACGTATCACAGGATGCACCCTGAGCGATGTTTAGTAAACTTTTACTAAGCTGTGCAATGATGCCCACCATCCAGTTTTCTATCACCTTCGTCACACAGGAAGCAGGGGAGTTAACAGCCTTCTACCTCCAGCTGTCCACACATCCACCTGTTGGCAGACACTGAACCATTCCCAATTTTTAGCTATGTTAAATAACAAAGTTATAAAATACCCTGTACAGGTCTTTCTGTGGCAGGCTTCCTTTCTCTTGAGAATACCGGGCGTGGCCCTGCTGTAACAAATGGCTGCCCTGTCTTATCCTTGCCCACACGAGGAACCCAGGCTAGTCAGCTCCTCCGGCCACTGGGTGTGGAGCGGCTCCCCGTGGCAGGTTTAGCTGTATCTCCTATGACTGAGGATGGCGAGCATTTTCCACGTGTCTACGACACATAAGTTTCTTGTAGAAAGCATCTTTTCAAGGTTTTTGCCCACTTTTTTCTGGCTTTTTTTTTAAAGTTGTATGTGTTCTTTATATACTTGTATATATTCTGGCTACAGAGCCTCAAATACAGGTATTGCAAACATGTTTTCCTGGTCTGTGGCTTACCTGTTCATGTCTTTTAACGGTATCTTTTATAAGGGCAGAAATTTTAAATTTGGTGAATTGCAATTTATCCGTTTCTTTTAAGCTACAGTCTTTTAAAACTGAAGAGAGGTGTGATCCACAGCTGACGACAGAGACACTGAAAAGATGAGTCAGCCACTCTCTGGGACAAGAGCCTCACTAATCCCACTGGCACTGCCCACACACATTTAAAACAAAGTTCACAGTCTTAGGAGGCCAGACAGGGAGCGCGAGGCTTCAAAACCTCAGGCCCGTACGAATGAGAAACAGCCCATCCATCGCTTTGAGCAGTTAGGAAACGGTCGGGGAGCCCCATTCAGAGCCAAACTCTCCGAGTCGCTGACATTTCACATAGTGAGAAGAAAAACACAACCCGCAGGGACCCCGTCCTATGCACTGTGACTCCATCTCTACATCCGACCTTCAGCCGCAGGGCGCGCAGACAAGCTCGCGAGTGCCCAGACCCACAGGGCGGTACGTGTCTCTCAGTGGGCAACTGGGGGGGAGCGAAGGCTCCCGCAGCAACGCGGCAGCGAGCTGTCCGGGCCTTCCCAGCCACCCCGTGTCCCACACCGAAGGGTAGGAGACGGCAAGCGTGGTTTCGGACACACTTGCTGGGAAAACAGGACAAAAATACGCTTCCTCCTTAGACGCCCATGACAGACTGCACGCGGCGACCGCAGCCGCACACCCACAGGCACCAGCAGGCTCACCGTTCTTCCGTGGAGCCCAGGTTTTCAATTTCATTGGCCACTTCTGCTATCTCATCCTTCAGCCTCTGTAAAACAGAGCCCGGGGTCACCAGACAGGAAGGTGCATGTCATATTAAAACCTCTGAAACCCCAAAGCTCCATCCAACGAAGAGCAAAATAAGGCAAAATGAAATAAGTCAAACCAACAAAAATCTAAACAATTTTGGAAATTCTTCTATTCAACGCATCTTTACCGAGCTCCCAGCAGGCAGGGAGCATGCCAGGGAGCACCAGGTGGAGACAGTTCCTGCCTTCAAGGAGGTCGCAGTCTGGGAGACGAGCATTTCCCACTGAGACACGGCTGCCATGGTGTCAGAGCCCAGCTGTAGCCTCCAAGAGCAGAGACAGGAGGCCCCACCACCCATCTACCCAGCTGCCCCCAAGGTGCACGCTGGGTCAACACAGCTGCCAAGTGCTGCAGAGGACCTGCCGGCCCAGGCCTTCATTCCGCCTCCTCCCTCCCTCCCAGGTCTGCAGGCCCTCAGCACGGACTCACAGTGAGGGAAAAGCCTTCCTGGCATTTATCAGTGAAACAGGAATCAGAATTAGGGCAAGTGGTCCAAATACACAGGAAACCACACTGGAGCAGGTCAGTGTTGCCCTGCATGCTCATAGTGCTGGGTGACAGGGTCTGTTGGGTGACAGGACTCATGGGGTGACGGGGCTCACAGTGCTGGGTGACAGGGCTTGTCCCTGCCCCTCCCCACTGCCCGCCTGAGCTTAGGGATCCCAGAGGAGCACCTGCTGCCTCTAATGGCTTCTACGGCTTATTTCCCACAAAGCTGGGTGGTTACGCAGAGGGACAGAGAGAAGCACCGATAAGTATATATGGCTGACTAAGCATCTCCAGGGACCAGCAGCTTTGCAAAGTCCTATCCAACCTTGAACTCACCTAACCCCACGGCAACCTGTCAGCAGGTGTTTTCATTCTTATCTTACAGATGAAGAGACTGAAGTTCAAGGAACCAAGACTATGGTGTCTGAAATCACTCCTCCTGTCAGCAGCAGTGCCAGGCCTGGACATGGGTCTGCTCTGTGCTCTAATCAGAGCCCTCCCCTGTCCCCCTCGGGAGTCTGGGGACCAGGTCATTCTGCCCCTGACCACAGGCCAGCTGGTGGAGCTTACAGACCACTCGCCTCTCCGAGCCCCATTCTTTGCTTGTTAAGCAATGACCATCAACACCTACACTTGTTCAGAGCTGTGGCGAGTCAGGAGAAGACACTGCAGAGGCCACCTGTCCCCGACAGCACGGGTCACCTCCTACCTGAATGTCAGCCAGCAGCTCCTGCTTCCTGCGCCGGATGTTCTCCAGTTCCTGCCGCTCCTCTGCAGTCAGGTCGCTGGGAACTACAGAAAAGGAGGAGACTGTTAGAAGAAAGCTTCCATCTCACCAACAATGAAAATCCAGAGGCCCCTGAAGGACACAGCTACCACAGCAGCGTCAAAGGAAAAAGGAGCCAGGACCACAGAGAGAGCATGAGGAAGGCGCGCACCTGCTGTGAAAGGAAGGAGAAGAAGGCGGCCTCAGGTTAGGTGAGGCTGGCCGGGAAGGAACACGGACCACGGCTGGGCCCTGGCGGCTCCATCCCTTACAGCGGAGGTTCCAGGCCCCGGCTGACCAATCCCTCGGCCTCAGCTCCCTCCCTAAGTCCAGCTCCAACGTGGAATGATGTCCATGATACCCTCAGGGGAGGGGAGACCATGCAAAGCGGAGGGAGGGGGGAGCCTGCATGTGTACACAGAAAAAACCTAGAAGGATTCATCCCAAAGTAAGAATGGCACTGAACTCTGGGGACTGGGTTTCGGGGGCTTTTCTCTCTGCTTTGCACCTTCTGCATAGTTTGCGTGTTGTTTTAAATGCGTTCTGATCCTGAGAACAAGTTACTTTACTCCAGCCACAGCTCCCACCGCACGCAGAGACTGCTGGGAGGCCATGTGGTCACCGAAGATCGAGCACTGGCACCAGCAGACCTGGCTCAAACACCCCTCACCACCAATTAGGTCACTCACAGGTCACACCACCTGCTCGGTCATCAAGGAAGCAGAGATACCACTGCCCACCTCACCCAGTGCCCGACAGAAGCTCAACGGTGCTGCTCCCACTTCCCTGGAGCCAAAGCAAGGGCTCCACATGCCTGATGGCGGGGCAGTGTGTGGGCACCTCGGTCATCTAAATGAACTAGAGTTCAGTGTATGACATGGTGGCCGGGGACCATGCATAGCTGTTAGGCACTTGAATGGGACGAGCCCAGTTTGCGATGGGCTGCGTGTAAAACACACAGCAGACTTTGTACAGAATGGCAGAACCTCTCTTTATTACTTTACACTGATTACGCGTTGAACTTACACCTTGGCAGGTGAAATCTCTTACTTGCTCTCACAGGGGCCACTAGCAAGGAGCCCAGCAGACAGGGCTGGGATGGGACAGCCCTTCCCGAGAGCCGTCGGGGCCGCACTAACTGGCGCTGAGACGGATCCGCTCCATGCACAGGGTAGCCCTCCCCATGCATTTCGGAAACACCACGCAAGGTGACAAGGAGGCAGAACAGGCCTCGGGGAGGTCTGCAGTGCGGTGCCTCGGCTACATCAGAAATGCTGAGCTTTCTTTTTTTATCCAGCTTTTCCTCACCTTCCTCCAGAAAAGTGTCATTTACACTACGAGGTCCACAGTGAGAGATGCACCTGATACCAGGACCCCCCTCCCTGACATAGCAGCATCAAAACAACAGGCTCCTCCTGTGAAATCCATGGTACTTTCTGTTGTTTTACTCTGAGTTTATCAGCACTGGCTGCACCTGCCGAGTTGATTTTGTGGCTTCACTAGTGCAGAGTCTTGGGGTCTGGACTCCCTCTGTGCGCGCAGCTGGCAGGCCACCCTCCCTGGACTCCAGCAGCAGTCTCAGGCCAGCCCCGGCCGTGGTCCCGCACGTGTCCTGAAAAATGAGGGGTGAGCGTGCTCTCGCTCCCTCAGGAGGAAGCTGGACTAACAGCAAATCAGCTCCTTCAGACAAAAGCCAATGTGGTAACTGGTGCCCGTGGCTGCCTGTGCCAACATTTGGGAGACCTGGCGTTGCCCCATCTCCAAGGAGGCTCATGGACACCCAGCCTAATGCAGAGCCCATGGCCCAGGAGGCCCCAGCAGGAAGCCCCACAGAACGTGTCCACTGCGCTATTCTCACCCTCAGAGGTGGCTGAGCCCACAACCCATGTGAGAAACGCCCACCCTGGGGCAGACAGAGATAACCAAGAAAACAAGAAAATGTTAAAAGAACAGGAAACTCTGAATAGGGACAATTACAAAGAAAGAATAAGCTCTTAGAAATTAAGCACATTTGGCCGCTCCAACCTACCCCCAAAATAACCAAGTAATAAAAGATGAAGCTGAGGCATCCCCCGCCCCCAGAACAGGGAGCCAACAGAAAGGCGGGAAGTAGAAGCAAGCGAAGTCACGAGCAGCCAGTTCCTTCACTGCGAGGTTTTTCCATCCCACAGGGAGACGCAGAAGCTGGAGGACTGAGGTCGACCCTGAAACCTCCACGAGAGGCAGAGAAGGTGGCACCTGCTGGAGGGGCAGCGGCCCCTGGGAGATGGGGGGGGGGTCAAAGTTCTAAACAAAAATGACCCTAGAATTAACCCTCAGTCAAGTAGGGGGCAAAGCAGACTGGTT